ATTCATGGAGCAACCACTCCCTGGTACACTCTTAGACAGCTAAAGAACTACCTTATTTACTACATATGAAACAAATTTCAGCAACTGTAACTAAAATGGCTGACTTTTGTAGTTTATAAGATTCATTTATGTCTTCAGTTGGGAAGCTCAAAGCAGGTTTATCACAACTTTGATACTGGCAAAATGTTTGGTGGATTTTTTCCCCTAATTTAGGAAAGTTCTCCTAATTTGCCTTTGAAGTGTGCCTTTTTACACACCTCCTGCCAATAAAAAAAAATACATTTTGAGATGCATTAAGTTATAAAACTGTTTTTTAAATGCTCTGAATAAACTGAAAGGAACTGCCAAAGTTCATGTCTGTATAAAATGTAACACTGCAGAATCTTAATTTGCTTTAAGTATCAGCCTCCCATAAATACATTAAATTAAAATAATAATTAATCTAAACTATTCAGGGTCAAGTAGCAAAACGAGTCCAAAATGGTACCAAATATTTAAAAAGTCCATCAAGCAATATTACACTTAACTTTCAGAACTGTTAGTGATGAATACACAGTTCTTCAAGCAGAACAACTCAGTATTATGAGTATCCCTCTTAACTGAAAGTTTTCCAAGTAAATTGCAATGCAAGATTATCTTTTTAACCCCAAGGCAGATGGCTGCAATGCCAGTTCTGTTGTTACTTAGATTTCCCCAGAAGAATAAAACTTATGGTGGCATCCAAATCAAATTTATTCTGCAATAAGTATTTGTGAATAACACACTCTGAGTTAAAGTAGCAAACAAGCTGACATGTAAAGTTACTGCAGCCACAGCACTATAAAATCACATTCTATACATTACCTTTCAAGATAAAAGACAGTTTCCCTGCTTTCCCACCCCTGCTCCTCACTGCAGTGTTTCTGTTGAACATTAATGGCTCCCAATGTATCAGAAATAACAAACAGGAGATTATCAAAAGCTGATGAAAGAGACAAAGAAGACACATGCATTCCTGTTTCCCTTCTCCTCATAACTTACAGGGGAAGACAATATGCTGCAGTTTCACTAAAATACTATTTCATGCTGTGGAGTCAGGCAGGTGGTAGGGACAAGCATCATATCCAAACTTGCTTCTGCTTAATGTTCTGAGTTACAGAAATCTACATCCTGACAACGATTACATTTTGATATAAGAATACTTCTCACTAAAAACTGGACCACGTACCTCCTACAACACAGAACCACAAAACATTTCATCAGGTCTGTGAGAGTTTTTCCCTAGAAACTTTACACAATGTATCTTCATCACTTAGAGGCCTGACTTGTCAGGGAACAGGACACATCTCAGTGCAATTAACCAGCAAAAAAAAGTACTTTCATTTTTAACTCAGGAAACTCGCTGGTAACAATTTGCCTCTACTCTAGAAAGTTTCCATTAGCGATTAAGACAGTCCCCTGAAAATTGGTGTCATTTAAACACCTCACAAAGAAACACAACCACGCAGCAGTTTCAAAAATAACAGATCCTGAGTATTCCAAGAATACAAAATACCCCCCACCCCATAAAATCTCTGATAACTACCTCAAATAGTGCTACTAGTATTAGGGTGGGAAATTTCTACCTGGTAAGTGTAACAGTCCTAAATTGAGAAGGCCCCACGATCCCTCAATGACTGGGAATAAGAACTCAAAAGGCATAAAGAAGATCGTGAAGGGCCTGGAGGAGAAGCCATACAAGGAGCAGCTGAGGTCACTTGGCTTGTTCAGCCTGGAGGACACTGAAGGGCAGGGAAGCAGAGGGGCACGGCATGAGGCTGTGTCAGGGGAGGCTGAGGCTGAATATTAGGAAAAAGTTCTTCACCCAGAGGGTGGTTGGGTACTGGAACAGGCTCCCCAGAGAAATAGTCACAGCTGTGCCCAAGTAGTCAAACCTGACACAGTTCAAGAAGTGTTGGACAACACTCTCAGGTACATGGTGGGATTCCTGGGGCTGTGCTGTGCAGGACCAGGAGCTGGATGTTAATGTTCCTTGTGGGTCCCTTCCAGCTCAGGATATTCTATAATTCTATGATACTGACCAGTATGGCACAGCAGCATAAAGCTGATAATATCTGAAACCACTGCTTTCAAATGATTTCTCCATGCAGGCATTCCTAAACGTTTCATACTGACTTTTCATCAGTTCACATGCATAAAATTTTGCAGAATAAGTTGTATCTAATAGAGAAATAGCCCTTAAACATTTTCCTGTGAACAACCAGGCAATGCTCAGGATTACACTGCACCGTGTCTCATACCTGTTTGTATACATAAGTAATGAATTAAAACCTCAAGCGTTCCTTACAGACAAAAACAGACTTTCAGTAACTGGGCTAAAAATTCTGATTGCACTGTTATCAGTAGTTCTGCAATTTTCTCCAATACCACAAATACTTGATGCACAGTCCTCTTTCTTACTAAGTTTTTATAAGATTCACTCTTCAGGTTGAACCTTGTTCAGTTTCCAAGGATACCTGAATACGTCACTTTTTTACATTCCTTGTGCCTTAGCCTTCTGTCTTTCTTCCCAAAAAAACTAACGAGAGCCAGCTGGCAGCCCTACGCGCTCGTTCGAGGGGTGTGCTCTGCACCAGGGCAGCACTCGGGCCGGGCAGGGGAATACCCTGAGCTGGGGCGGAGCGGGTCAGCCTCGAACCCCTCGGCCCGGCCTCACACTCCCACCGCCGGCCGTCAGTTCTTCCATGGAAAGCGTCCCAGCTTTCCCTGGGGACTGGGGAAGGGAAACAGCGGGGCTCCCGAGGACGGGCCCTGCAGGAGCGCTCGAGGTGCGGGGCGTCCGCAGGGGAGTGGGGGCTGAGCGACCCCGGCAGCGGCGTGTCCGGGCCGCAGGGCCGGGCCGGGGGCACCGCAAGCGGGCGGCGATGCCACGGCGATGCCGAGGGACCGGCGCGGGACCGGGGGTGTGTCCGGGCGGGGCCGGCCCGCAGAGCCCTCAGAGCGGGTGCGGAGGGGCCCGGGCGGCCCCAGGGCCGGGGCGGCGCGGCCCGAGCAGCGGCCGCAGGAGGGGTCGGCGGGGCCCGGCGCGCTCCCACCACCCGCAGGGCCCCCCCGGCGCGGTACCTCCTCGGCGCCGGGGTCCTGCGCGGCGGCGGGGGCGGTGGATGTGGAGGCGCGGGGCTCCTCGGCGGGGCCGGGGCCCAGGTTCGGGTCCATGTCCATGTCTCGCTCGGCGGTCCCGGGGCGGGGGCGGCCCCACCGCCCCTCCCCTCCCCCGGCCCGCGCGCGGCTCTCGCGATACTGACGGGGCCGGGCCGTGTGAGGGGAGCGGGGCGGGGGCGGCACCGGGAGGGTCCAGCGGGGGGCCCGGAGCGGTTCCGAGCGGTGCCCGCGGAGGCCTTGCTGCCTCCCGCCCTCTCGAGTGACACCGCAGCTCGCAGAACAGAGAGCGGCCGGGGCCGCTACAGGGAGTCACGGAATGGGTTGGGTTGGAAGGGACGTTATAGATCGTCTCGTTCCAACCCCCTGCCATGGGCAGGGACACCTTCCAATAGACCAGGTTGCTCCAAGCCCCGTCCAACCTAACCCTGAACACTTACAGGGATGGAGCATCCACAGCTTCCATAGGCAACCTGTTCCAGTGTCTCATCACCCCCACATTAAAGAATTTCTTCTTAATATCCCATCTAAATCTCTCCTCTTTTAGTTTAAAACTGTTCCCCCTTGTCCTATAACTATCTACCGGCACAGAAAGTCGCTGTCCATGTTTTTTATATGTCCCCTTTAGGATGACAATGAGGTCTCCCCGGAGGCTGCTCCTCTCCAGGCTGGACAGTCCCAGATCTCGGATTTTTCAGCCTTTGGAGCATTTTCGTGGCCTCCTCTGGGCTCGCTCCAACACATCCATATCCTCGTGCTGAGGACTCCAGGGCTGGATGGTGGGGTCTCACCAGAGCAGAGCAGAGAGGCAGAATCCTCTCCCTCCACTTGCTGCCCATGTGGTTTTTTTTGTTTGTTTTTTTGCTGCTTTTTACTTAGCCCAGTGGTTCCAAACCCTGTTACAAATGGCAAGTGTGTTTTCCTAAGTGCCCCAGGCTGTACTAGAGAGAAAAACATCTCCTAACATCTGCAGAGGTACCAGTGGAGCTCCCAAAGCAAGAATAGCTTACAGGAAAAAACATATGTGGGTTTTTTTCTTGAGCCATTTTAAATTCAGCAGTGTTTGCATGTTTCTGTTGAAAATTGCACTTATGAAGCCATTCGATTTAGTTACTGGCAATGCATGTATTTCTGACTGTCAATGCAAGACATTCAGATTCTCAGCTGCTGAGCTGTAACCTTGGTCATATTGCTAAAGGATCCCAAAACAATCCTTGAGATGTCAGACTTTAAAAACTGAGAGCTCAAATCAGCCATTTTACCTGGTGATTACTTACAAAGGCATTATCATGAGCATTTGGTACAGAGACAGCAATGAAACCTTAGCCCAGTAGGCAGAATGAGCAATAAAAGCTTCTTCAGTCCAGTAAAAAGCTCAGAAACTGTTATCAAGATCTTTTTGCATAACTCAACAACTAAGCTGAGCAAATGGGCTATTGCAGCACTCACACACTGCATTTAGAAAAACCTCTGAGAACTCTTCTCCATCTATGCATTGACTCCAGTGAGGTGCCAGTAACATGTGTCTTAACTGTTTCCATGACTGCCTGATTACTCGGAGATTCGTTATCTAGATTATGGCCCAGCACAGAAGATTTAAGTTCTAAACTCCCCTTTTTCGTGTTGCGAAACATCTGCAAAGCAGTAACAGTGCTGTTCCAAATTATTCAGCCCCCTATTGCCTTCTGTGTCTGCAGTACAGTTCACAACAAAGCAGGACCCACGGCGTCTGCAGTAGCCCTTCCACATGATTTATTTTTAAAAGCTTTGGGAGGTACATTTTTCATAGTGCAATTGAGAAGAGTGACGTGACTGGTTTTGAAAGAGTGCTCCAAATAGCTTTTCCAAGCAGAGCTGTCTAGAAGATTAAGTTTACCATTAGCTATGCAGAAAGTCTCTAAGGTGGGAAAATTCCAGTTTATGACGTGTTTGTTCTTAACCTTTATGGAAAATAGCTCACTAACCACTTTTAACATCTGACTTTCCTTCTCTACTTTCAAACATTTGTAGCTTCTGTTTATGCCAAACACTCTCAAGTGTTTGTTACAGCTTGTTTTTTCCTTGAAATTCACAGGAACATTGCATGCTGTACAAAACAACCAAGCTGCTGCTTTCTTGAAAGATCTCCTTTGGCTATTTTTTGCTTGTGTGCTTCATATTTGCATTTGACACTATGCAGAGATGTTCTTAGCTGCTTCTCTTAGACTATGCTGTGTACTCCCATGGATCCACAGGCCACTGGCTGAAAAAATCGCTTATTATCATATGATAATCTAATTAATTGGGGTTTTTCTTTAAAGTAGTGAAGTGCTTTTTTGTACTTACTTTATATATATATTTTTTGTGCTAATATTTGAAAAATTCCATTGAGTTTCTCCAATTGTTTTTTTTTATGTGTTGAGAGGCAGGAGGCCACTTGTCATGTTAAAGTTGTAGATTTAGGTATTAGCTCTTTGTTTTCCCAGCTTTATTACTCCTTATTTTAGTCTGCCAGATACAATCACCAGGGCTGAATGTGTAGTCTACACACCAATCTACAAGCCTCCTCTGCCCAAATCAGAAAGATGCCACTTAACATATTGTATGATGAGAATTATGTTTTATTGTCAGATTTAGAAAGAGAAATTGCATACACTTAGGCTCACTGTTTCCCACTTTTGTATTTCAAACACTGCTGAAATTTGTAAAGCATTGATATGATACAGATGAAGTAGCATTTTGATATAGTATATAGATAATTGCATAAGATTTTAAAATTGTGGGTGGTGGCTATTCAACCTTTTCAAAACAGGGGACTAATTGTAGCAGTCTCAATTTCTCTAGCACAGATATATTGGATTTGGGTAACTTTTTAAAATAAATCTTAGTATTCTGTGGAATTACCTCATAGGCCAAGTTGTTATACAAACCCCCTTTGTGTGAGTTGCTGTGGAGGGGTTGTATAGGTACCAACATATGGCTGTGGATCGAGAAATGTTACCAAAAAGCAGGCTGAAGAATGAAACAGTATGTGCTAAAATCACAGAATAACAGAAGCACAGCATCACAGAATATGCTGAGTTGGAAAGGACCCACAAGGATCATCGAGTCCAACCCTTAGCCCTGCACAGGACCATCCCCAAGAGTCACACCATGTGCCTGAGAACATCATCCAAACACTTCTTGAACTCTGTCAGGCTTGGTGCTGTGACCACTGCCCTGGGGAGCCTGCTCCAGCACCCAAACACCCTCTGGGGGAAGAACCTTTTTCTAATATCTGACCTAAGCCTCCCCTGACACACCTTCAGTCCATTCCCTCAGGCCCTGTCACTGGTCACCACAGAGAAGAGATCGGTGCCTACCCCTCCTCTTGCCCTCACGAGAAGAGATAATATGTGAAAATCTCCCAAGAACTGATAAGCTTTAGAGACCAGCAGACCTGTTGAATTCACGGGAACAGATAAACTCAGTACACCAAGAGTCTGCCAAATCCCAACTGTTACACAAAGCAGGTAACTCAGTGTGGTAGGTGTAGTCCAACCATGTGAATGCACTGTGTGGCGATTTACAAGTGGCAGTACCACTGTCATGTGCCACCAGGTGGCAACACCGACCTGTATTCGCCTGCGGGAGTCCTGACAAGAGGATCCGGCAGCCTATGGCCTATTTAATATGAATACTCCTCAATCTTGAAACTGATTTTATCAATAACGGGAAAAAAATTATAAAAATTAGCTTTGTAAACCATCTTTTACTTACTGCTTTTTAAATATTTCTAGAACAGTATTGTGTATAACCAGTATCTTCCCATAAAATGACAAAAGAGTCTTGTTAAGAAGGGCCTTGGAAAGGTAGTATCCTGTGAGTCTGGGGTCTGTTCACTCCCCTGTGCACATTCAGGAGGCTCTCCATTGAATGCCATAGTCCAAAATCCACATCTACAACACTGGTCATTTTTAGCTTAATTGTACCATCAATGAACTTAAAGCACAACTGTGCAATACAAGTTAGCTGTAAGCAATAAACAGCTTTATAGTTTGGAAACAAATAGGATCTGGGAGTAACTGAGAAGTGCTGTCTCTGAGGTGTTTGCCTGTTGACTTTCATATTTGCCACCTTTATTTCCATGCCTACATCAGCCTCCATGTGTGAGCCACCACAGTGTGCCAACCATGTGTTACCTTACCCTGACTGCAGTACTACCATCTCACTTCAAATGCTTATATCATGTTGCTATTTTAATACTGCTTTTATTAAGCTAACAGGTTATCTCTTTGCAAGTAACCTCAGTTATGTCCAGTGGCACACTTCTATGCATTCTTGCACTTACCTGTGCAGCCCTGTTTCATTCAGATCCTTATTTCACAGGTTCCCTTACAAAGTTTATCTGCTTTAGGGTTCCAGATTCTTTTCCCTTCTCATAGGATTAGAAAGAAGCATAGGCCTCCTCCTCTCTAGAGCTTACAATATACAAGATACTTCTCAAATGAGCTCTTGGTTTATGTGTCACTCATCTGGAAACCCAGGCTGTGTTGAAGATGTAATTTCTGAGGATGTAATTTCTGAGGATGTCCCTTGCTGCAGGGCTTTGTGGAAGCCGAGCAGATGAGAACAACCCAGCCCCTGCATGAGGCAATTCAGGGCTGCAAACAAGTGCTTACCTGATTCTGCATCATCTACAGGCACTAATGTGCTCTAATAGGCTTCACATTGAGTGTTTTTTCAGAAAGGGGGGGGTTCTGTTTGTTTGGGGAGGATGGAGCTTTTGTGGAGTTGGTTTGCTTGGGGTTTTTTTTTCTCTTGGGTTTTTTGTTTTGGTGGATTTTTTTTTTGTTTTGGTGGTTTTGGAGGGTTATTTGTTTGTTTGTTTGTTTGTTTGTTGTGTTCATGCTTCATGTTCATGCATCAATTTTCTGTATCAAGTTTTCATTTTACCCAACAGACAGTCTCTGGCATTGCCAATAGGGTTTGCAAATACAAGACCGCATTCAGCTTTGGGAACTATAACAAAATAGCTAATGTATCCTTTGTATCTCGTTCAAAGAGTTGATAGCTGTACAAATACTCTTTGTTTTTACAACTTTATCCCAATACTGCATTTTTAATCCAGGCTTTAGCAGCCAAAGCTTTACTTGGGTACTGAAAAGGCTTCTAATAGGGCTGTATCTCTCAAGCACAGGGGTTTTTTTTTCCCTAAACATTTTTTTCACTTGGTATCCTCTTTTTTTTTTCCTTTTTTTTTTTTCTTTTTTTTTGGCTGTGTGTTCATTTTTGCAGTGGGAGAGCCAGGAACTCTCACAGTTTGGTAAATTATGAAATTGAGAAGACTGTCATCTCTTCATGGATGTGATGAGCCGGGATTATGTGATCATGTTAGAATGTGTTAGTTTACCAACCCTCATCAGGAACATATTGCAAAGGTACCTTCCTTACCTATATGGACACTAGTTGCCCTTTGCAGCTTTGAACTTAAACACCTTCCCACCACACCATGTTTCTCTGCTCCAGACCCCTTGCACTGCTATTTTTGTTTCTGCAGGTGAGAAAACGGTTAGTTCAAGATTCTAAAAAGCAAAAATTGATCCCAACAAAGAAAGTTACTATTTTTTTCTCAGATCAGCACAGCAAAACAACTCAACTGCCCACGCACTCAGGGGCCAGTGCCAATACAGCAGCAAAACAGATCCATGGCAAGATGAAGGGTGGAATTGCAGCCACACTAATTTGTATCAGTTTAAGCTACCATAGCCCAGGCTTTAATAAACAGTTTTACAACTGTGTATTCTGTCCTGAACTCCAGATTTTGCATACCTACAAACAATGATGTCATGAAAATTTAACAATGACCAGTGAGTGATTCCTTTAAAGGTCATAAAATATTTCCTGATGTAATAAGCTATGACTTTGCCAAAATCTGAGCACTGTCTCAAGACAGTCCCCAACCAGAAAAGTCCAGTTTCATTGAAAGTGAAAGGCAATTTAAAAGAGATTTTAGGTCAAAGCAAAAGCTGTCAAAAGTTTTTTCCAACTTAAATAAATCTGAAGCATATTTTGCTGCTCACTGCAATGGCATCCTCTTCTCCCTAACATATGCAGTTATTTTGCAATATTGAAAACCTATAAATGATCTGTCCATAACAGAAACAGAATATTGCAAAATTTTGAATATTTGTGAGTATCCAGTGAGCAGGCTGGTACAGTACAGCCTTTAAGTCTCTTTAATGATAGTTGAGATTCTTTCTTCGCAAATTTTCTACCCAAAATGAATAACCTCTTCCTTAAGCAGAAACCTGTTCCTGTGGGTTTGATTTCATACTGTTATCCCTAAGATGATCATAGACTATTTGTAAATGTAACAGTTCTTTTTCAAAGCTTTTAGCATGCACCAGGGTTTCCTTTAAATACGGGAAATGCACAAAAGATGCTTAAATGTATAAAGTCTGCCTTGACCTTGCAAACATGGCAGATGCATTGCATAAGCCACAAGCCATCACTTCAGTTGCCACGGGCTTTACCCTGCTGTGAAAATACTTTTAATCTTGTCCTTTATATCTATTTTTACTTACCAGCATCTACACCCTGTGGAAAACTTGACTGAACCTGTTATATTTTCCAGAATATTAAAAGATCTGTTAGATAAGAGTAATTCATTTTAATTTATCCCAGTCCACATAGAATATGTTTCTGCCTTTCTCCTTGCTACCTCTTTTTTTTTTTTTTCTATTTTGCTTCCCTGACTGCCTAGGCCTTCTTTCTTCCTCATCCTGTAATGATTCTTCCTTTTTTGTAACAGTCTCAAACACACAGCTGCCATCAAAACAATCCCTCCTTTCCTGCATTTACATTCTTCACACAGGGCAACCTTTTACACACAGAGTTCAGAAATCTGGTCTGTTTGCTGTAATAGCCTCTATTCAATCATACTTAAACAAAGTAGTTCAATTGCCTAGTGGGGGAAGGTCTCTCTTCCACTCACAGTTCTGCCATCTGCATGAAAATTTCTCTCAAGTCACAGTGTAAGAGGTAGAGTTCCTATAACTCTCAGTAAGGCATTTTTGGGCAATATAGAGAACAAAGGCAGACAGTGTCCTCTGTTAATTTTCACGGGTTTATTTTCTCATCACTCCAGAGTGCTCTCTGTTATCAGTAGGAATATTTTAGGAAAGCTGAGACCCATCTTGCACTTCATGGTGAGCCTTCCACATTTATGAGTCTGAAAATAGCTAGGTAGGTATTTTTTCATTTAAACATAAAACTACAAACTTCTTTTTCCATCTGTTTTTGCAGGCCTTCCTGAGACCTTTCTTTAAACCTCATATCCAAACTTTAGGCTATAAACTTCTAGAGTAAACTGGTTTTAGCAAGTCCTCACTTTCAGGAGATTAAAATGAAAATTTAATAATGATTTGCTATTTCTGACCTGGAAGAGGCATGTCATAATCTTGATGTCAAAGAGATTATTTTGGATTCCTGGCTGTTACAGGTTTGGCTGTGTCATGTCACCAGGATCCATCAGCTGTGCACAGGCAAACTCCTCCAAATTGCCATATAAAGTTAATCAGTAGACCTCACATATGAGCTGAGTACTGGTCATTGTTATGTATGAAAAATGAAGTGGGTTTCTCTTAGCTTCAAAAGGTGATTAAGACAATTAGAACAGAAATTTTGGCTCTTTTAAAAAGCCATCTTTTCTGCTTCAGTATCTCCTCCCTCAACTGCAAGGATTATTTGCTGACCTTGAGGAGCCATTATTGTAATTACCCTGCAAGGAAATCCTCATAAAAGTGTTGCTAGCAATGCCTGTGTAGAGTGTAAGACCCACTTATCCACCTATGTGTTGTTTACTAGTCTGTAAGCAGAAGCTGAAAAGTAGCCAAAATGCAATTTTTAACCTGTGCTTTCGTGGATGACAGAGAAGAGAGAAGCCTCTCTTCTGGTAAAAGAGACAGGGCAGGGGTTTGAACCAAAGTGAACCTGTTTGTTGGCACCCCCGCTTTAGAAAAAGACAGTTTTACATTTGCAAATAAATGCACTATCCAGCAGAATTCCAGCCCTTCCACCAGTTACTTTCCTAAACAGGAGACTTTCCTATGAGATGCTGGATGTCTGTTGCTGTTTCCCAGAGGAGGTTAGTGCCAGAGGGCGTTGGTCTGTTTTCTGAAAGGGATTGACAGAGTTCTCCCTATGTGTCATGAGTGCTTTTGGTAAAATTAGATTCTGCCCTGTCCACAACAATAAAGGCCATACCCACATGCAGCTCACATAGTTCATATGCTTCCTGGAGCAAAACCACAGCAACGTTCAACTGTCTGTTTTCTTTTTTTATTTTCACAGTGGCTCCTGCCTTGGAATCAGGTGTTGGGTCTCACTGCCACTGAGAGCCCGGGGGTGCCCAAGTGCACAGCATGAACCAGGCAGAACATATCCCTCAGACAAGCAGAACAGTGCAGAGATGTCAGCATCAGTCTGTGCCCATGGTCAGGCTCAGGCTTCTGTAGTTAATTGTTCAAACAACAGCAACAAATCAAGCTGCTCTGAGGATCTATGTGCATTCCTCCATTAGACCTGATTTGTATGGTGAGGACAGGCTACTGAAAGGAAGAGAAGGGGCTGAATTATCCCCCGTGACTTTGCTAAATTTGTCCTTGTGAATGGAGAGGGAGTGAAATATTTGTCTGCAGGGGGGAGCGGAGTGGTAACTGTCAGGAACAGCTGGAACATATATACTGTGTCATGTCTTTTTGTGGCACTGGGCTGTTCTGCTTGCTGAGGGAATGCTGCAGAGGCATGTTAGCATTCTGCTGAGTAAGTGTGGTGCGAGTTCCATGTGTAAACAGGGATCAGTCGCCAGATGAGAGAAAAGGGCTGTTCTCCCAGGGCCATGACTGCCTCTTGCATGCACCTCAACCTTCACCAGGCCTGTGTGGTGATGTAAATTAAATGTGGGGCTGGATTCTCAGAAGAATATCTGCTTGTGGAAATGTCAGTCTAGATAACTCTGGTGTCTCTTCCTCCTTCAATATCTATAAATTTGTGAATGAAATAAATTCTCCTGATTTTTCCCATACTTTCCATCCTGATTATTCATTTGTCCACAGGATAATAAGAACTTTCACTACTCTTAAGATTAATAATAACATCACCAGTTGTTCTGCAACATGGAAATGGACAAGTTTAAATAGGACACTTAACTTCTTTAAATCAGTGCTCTGTAGAGTCACGAAGGAGTTTCCCATCAAATGCAATAAGCCAAGTGAGACAAATAAACCTAAGCAAATATGTGTAATTCCACACTTTCAAACTTGCCAGCATCACAATAATATTAAGAAAATAAATTTTATTTTTAAATTTTTTTAATTGAGTTTTGCCGGTGATTTCACCACATGTATTCAAAACACACTTGAAGTCCAAAACGAAATGCTAATGGATAAATGCAAAAGCTGGAACTAAAATAGAACACCCCAAGGGTTTTGCAGAAGTGTTCAGCTGAAATCAATTTTTCTTTGCTCTTCTTTCCCATCACTTTCCATTCTCTTTCCAACCTCTGTTCACCCTCTGCATATGTTTTCAACTGCAAGACTTTTAAAACAAAGACTCTGTCGTTCACCATCATGATGATGGATTTAAGTAAATAATTTTATATTTTAAAAGTGGCTGAATAATCTTTGCATGGATCAGGACAAGAGCCAAATCCCACTTCTTCCATCAGGATGAGATACCATTCTTTTTTAAGCCTGTTATTATCAAACACATGCGTGAGTGACACATTATCAGCACAATGAAAGTCGTCAGGGTAAGAAAAGAACTTTATTTGCTCTTTTAATGTTTGGAGCACAAATGCCAAGAAGGCACAGCAGCTTTCATAACAAACATGTTAACCCCCACATGCTCTGCTTAATTATGGCTTCCTGTATTTCTCCTCAGGCTACTGGCACAGTAAGTAAACTGGCACAGATTTTATTTGTTCTGATTACACTGAATGCAAGTTGTTGGGCAGGTGCTTCACAAGCAGCTGAGCCATTCCAGCAGTTCCAGAGGACAGGAGCTGTCTGACAGAGGAATGACACATCGAGCAGGGAACAGAATCACTGTACCCCTCCCTGTCACCATGGCTACCACTCAGCAGGCGGTTTTTGGGCAGAAGTACCAATTTAAGCAACTGCTGATTTCTTATTATTGCCCCTGCATCACTCGCTCCCTTGGTCAGGTGCAACTGTGTAGTGGGCCACGGCATTTATCAGATCAGGAAACTAGTCCTGATCCAGCTGGAAAATAAGCTCTCTTTTTTGACTCATTCTTTTCCAAACAGTCAGTTTTGTGATTCAGTTCCTCATGTAGGCACACAAATAAACCATGTCTGTTTAAGGGAGGCGATGGCAGAAGGGCAGGGACAAGTGACTTAAAAGATGGTGACTGCTGGTCATTTAAGCAGCATTACCACTGACCACAGCAAAGACAGAGCCAGAGCTCTCCTTAAGATGTGGTTTGGTATCCAGTGTTTAGATCCACTTGGCAGTCCAGGTTCCTTATACCTGTGTCCTGTTCCCTCCCCATTCCCTCTGCTGCCTTTCTGCAAGTGGTTATGAAGCTGCACAAGGGAACCCATCTGTCTGAAGGATGATCCAGTAAAAAATTGGTATTGTTAGGACAACTGTGGGGATAACACATGAAGTGTATCACAACTCATTTTGTTTTGGCAGACTGATGTTTTAAAGCCTTTAGGTTTAAGGCTACTGTATCTGTCAGAGTAACACAGGCAAGTCACGTGTGGAAGGAAAGTGTGACTTTCCTTCCCTAGATAATTCTGTGGCTGGATGCATCTCTCCAAGGAAAAGTCTTACAAAGCCTTGTTCACAAACCTGCTATTAAACATGTGAAGTTGTTAAAACATCACTGTGAATAAAGGATAAATGGAGCTGAGTGAAGGTGGTAGTAGAATGGAAGGTTGGGAATTAAATAGTATTGTAGGGCTGCATGAAAGTCACTCTCAAACAAAAACATATCAAAAGTTTGAGCACATTTGAAATAAACTGTTTATAGTTTATTCATGACAGTTTTCATTTATGGTAGGATTCTTTTAAGATCAGTGATAATGGAAAGCACTAGCAACAGGAACGCTATGAGTTTGTACAGATTTATTTATATTTTTATGTAAATGTACATAGAGCATATATTTATATATTGTATGCCATATATAGTACATATTATATTAAATATAATAAATACATATTGCCACTACATTTTTGCTTAAAAACTTTTAAAAAACAGTTACGGTTTCTAGTTTGTGAGATTCCAGCAGTGACACTGCAAGCTGTTTTCAGCCTGCCCTGTCAAAGAGCTCCAACAGAGACATGAAAAATTCTGTGAAAGTATTAAACTCTCCCACTGGCCTGATGCTGCTGATCACACCTTGCAAAGTCAGGGGCACCACGAGTGCTGTATCTGGGCATGGGCACGTGGGACTCCTGAAATTACAGAGTCGTGAAACCCAGTGAAGAATCACTGCGTCCACTTCAAGTCAAAGTTTAAAAGGACTTCTTAAAAATGAACACAAGCTGCCCTGTCCTTGAAAAAGCAGGAATTTCCCATCCTGGAAAGAGGCACTGACTACAAGGATATCAGCAAAGTTATGCACTCTGTGGGAGTATTTTTTAGTTGTGACAGTGGAATGGCAACCTGTCTCCTTGAAGGCACTTCTGAAAAAGTCTGTTTCTAAAAATATATGATGATGTGAGAAGAAAAATCAAGTTTATTCCTATTAAATTCATACAGGGGACTAAATCCTACTGAAAAAACTTTAAATCCGCAAACCAACAAAGTCTGGCGGATGGTGGAAGCTGCAGTGGAGGTCTCAGTGGGGACAGCAGCAGGGGGACTGGCCCTGCCGGCGCTGGCTGCGCCTCCCTCGCAGGCCAGAGCCCTTCTCCGACCATCGCGGTCAACCCCGCCGGGTCACCACGACACTTCACGGAGACCACCGCGGTCACCGCGCCCCGCCCGGCTGGTTTGCTCACCCCGGGGCTCCGGGCAGGGACGGCCGCTAATCTCGGGGCTCCTGGCATGGGTGGCCAGCATCCCCGGGGCTCAGGGCAGGGATGTCCAGCATCCCCGGGGCTCCGGGCAGGGATGTCCAGCATCCCCAGGGCTCGGGGCAGGGATGTCCAG